CAAACTTGTGTCTGAAGTCGAGACTTTGTTGAACAAAATCTCAGACTGGGTGCGACTAAATTTAGTCCAGTTCAATCCCCAAAAGACACAATTTTGCGCGTTTACCGCTGAAATAACTCCCTTCGTCCTATCTCCTCAGTTTCAAGGTACTCCCCTTGTTGCCACAACCAGTATCGGAATCCTCGGCGTCGACATATCGAGTAACATGCAGTTTCGTAGTCACTTGAAAGAGAAATTGGCCTCTAAAAAGCTTGGTGTGCTCAGTAGATCGGGACAGTATTTCATACTGGCACACTGCCTGCAACTTTACAAGGCACAGGTTCGGCCGCACATGGAATACTGTTCTCATCTTTGGGTTGGGGCTCCCCAGTGCCAGCTCCTTCCATTTGATCGCATTCAGCGCAGTGCTGCTTGAATCGTCGGCGACCGAACTCTTTCCGATCGGCTCGACTCACTGGCACTGTAAAGAGATGTTGCATCTCTTTGCGTATTTTATTGCATTTACCACGGAGAGTGCTCTGAGGAATTGTTCGGAATAATTCCAGCCGCACAATTTCACCATCGCACATCGCGAGAAAACTCGCAAAACCATTCATACCATCTGGATGATTGGCGATTCACCACTGTGCGATTTAAAAGAAGTTTTCTTCCTCGCACAACTTTCTTGTGGAATCGACTACCACCAGAGATTTTTCCGGACCGATACGACTTCGGAACCTCCAAGAAAAGAGCGTACTCGTTTTTAAAAGGCCGGCAACTATGTGCAATTCCCCTGGTGTTGCAGTTGTTCATGGGCGGCGGTAATCTTTTACCATCAGGTGAGCCGTATGCTCGTTTGCCCCCTTTCCTATAAGAAAACCCCTATCTCTAACTCCCGTAAGTAAGTTCTCGAGCGCCAGCTTCATATCGGTAAGCGAAGTGTAGGGCCCCAACTAGATCTTGTAAGAGATGCAGGGTTTCGACGGATGCAGATGGCTCAAAACCGTTTTATGATTTTATGGCGTTCCTCAAGGAACGGATATTTAATATTAATACGGATATTTAATATAATATTTAATATAAATGCCTCAAGGCAGGCCTAGTAAATTATATTAAATTTCCGTATATTTAATGCCTGTATAGTTTTTTGTAGCGGCGAATAAACTTTGTCACGAAAAAAGGCCCGTACTGTGCCTGTGGGATTTTTGTGAGATTTTGTACGCTAAACGCTGCTTGCCCTCACGGGTGTATACAATAGTTAAGGTATATAGTCTGTTTGCTTAGATACTTTTGTGTCGCCTTTGTGTCGCGCCGCCACGGCGCATCAAACATCAAAGGTCGCCGCATGCGGCGTACTCCCGCAGAAGGATTTGACATTTTACAACGTAACGTCGTAGCGAAGGTTTCTTTGCTACCTAACTTGTGTTTATTATTTATATTCGTATTTTATTACAATAACCATAAGAATATAACAGTATTCTATTTTATTCTTAGAATAGAACAACATTAAAATAATAAAATAAAAGCAAAATAATAAGTGCGCCTCCGACGCTATCTTAGTGCACAGACTATAATTTTCAATATGGCGTCCTTTGCTGTCGTTTTAAATGATCAAATTTTGTACATTAAAGCATCTGGGCATTACGTTATGGGCGACAGCTTCAAATCCAAGCTATAGAGTTAATATTTGTGTTTACTCTATAGCTTGGATTTACTCTATAGTTGGCACATTTTTTATTTATTCGCATTACTACTTAGTACCAATAATATTCAAGCATACAACGATATATTATTGCTATTGGGAGAAGTAAAGTATTTGGTTTTTGGACATAGATGTTTCTTCTCTGGTCCTATCACTTTATATTGGATATGATGAGGAAGGACAAGAGTATTGCTGTTTGCACGTTACGTTATGTCACGTTCACGCCAATCAAGTTTATAGAAAACACACCGTGGAGACCATATGCCAGAGGGGAAAAGTCTCTATCATGATTGACGTATTCGGGATATAATTCAAAATGAGAGAATAATTTTATTCGTCACGTTCTTTTTACAGGAGACATTATCAAGTGGACCAGGATGTTACCGAAGTGTGGGAGTGGTGACTAAATAATGAGATTTAAATTTAATTAAGAGCCGAATTTTATACATAGGAATAAATGCAACATAAACATTTATTAAAAATTACAGTATTGTGAATAAAAAAGTTTCCTTTTATATTCAGTCAGATTATAATTTATTTTGATGGACAATTTTTATGACGATTAAATTATACCCTTAAATAATAATATATTTTTACTTAAATTATATTACGATATTTAATTATTTTGTCATAAATAATTTATAATAAATAATTGTTAGTATATATTCGCTTTTTACCGTTAAGACCACGAATATAATATTCTATTATATTATAAGATTGTATAAAATTTATAGTTTTAAAGAAATTAATAAAAGAAAATGGAGAAAACAGATTAATGAAACGTTATTATTTTTAACGTGGTAGAGCCCAAAGACGTATTTCTTAGGGTAGAGTCAAGCTGCAGCTATTAGTAGTATTGTTATAGCACGAATGGGTCGGCTCGACCGAGGAAGGACCACGCTCTCACAGAATACCAGTGTAAAATGGCAGCTTAACATTGCTATATTTCGTATGGTGAGTGTAAAGAACCGGATACCCTTTTTACTGGAATCGAGGCATTCCACCTTAGTCCTCACTGATGACAACGCATCTGCATTTTGATTCGTAATCGAAGATGTAGATGTCTATGAGCCACAGAAACCACTTACCATTAGGTGGACTGTGTGTTCGTTTGTCATCTCACTACCTATAAGAAAGCAACAAGTTATCGAACAAAATGACACATATATATTATAATTAAATGTAATTAAACTCCGGGAAAAATGTCTTGAACTTGTATGTAAGAAACTTTTACCCGATCTTATAGTTCTCAATTTATTTCTTTCTGGAAACACTGACGGTGAATAGTTTTCAAACTTTAATGATGAATATTCTCCTTTATAGATTTCTCCGAATCCAAGGATTTTACTTTAGTGTATAATAGTTATTCTAATAATAAGGGAGACAAACGAACACACAGTAAAATAAATGGTAAGTGGATTCTGTGGCCCGTAGACACCAAAACTATCCTCGCTTAAGAATTAAAACTCAGATGTGTTATCACCTCTGAGGACTAGCGTGAAAAGACCGTTACCAGTAAAAGGGTCTCCGGATCTCATCACTTACCATAAGAAACTTAGCAGCGTTATTCTGCAATTTTTTATAGAAATTAATTGACAAACGATCTTACAGCCCACCTGAATCACCGAATGGTACGCTACTGGTGGCTACTATAATCCAGCCAATCTCTAATCAAAATTGCAACTAACTTCAAGCAAATACGTCTAGGTATACATGTGTGGTTACCAAACACGTGGTAACAAACTTGCTTTTTAAATCCTTTAGGCTAGAACAGAGCAGTGCCCGCATTACTTTTTGCCGTAAGAGATAGATACCTACGCAGGCGAACTCTTTGGAGTCCTAGCAACCAGTATTTTATTTTATACCAGAAGTCTGTGAGAGCGTGGCACTTCTTCGCGTTGCTGCAGTCATAATGCATTTTCTTTAGCATATCTTTACAGTCTAATCCTGGACATGGGCTTCTTCTACAGTACGGTGGGTTTGCTATAATGAGAGCATCCATGACTTTTTCTACCACTAGGACGGCGGCACTTAAGAATGAGAATGACTTATTTCACAGATTTATAGAGGGGAAATTAATTTGTTAGAAAAGTATAAAACTTAATGTTTCTTTCTTAAATATTAGTTATTTAATATATATATATATATATATATATATATATATATATATATATATATATATATATATATAAGCAAGTGGCGAATTGTTATTGACTATCATCGACTAAATGAGGTCACTGTTCACCGATATTCTCGATCAACTAGGTATTTTCAAATATTTTTGTACACTTGACTTAGTCTCTGGATTTCATCAAATTTGCTTAGACCCAAAAGATAGTGAAAAAGGGCTTCAGTAATACCACTAATGGTATTTCCAAACATTGTGAATTCACACGTATGCTTTTTGGCCTCAGAAATGCCCCATCAACCTTTTAAAAACGGATGAATTCTGGATTACAAAGTCTTCATTGTTATATACAGGGTTATTTTGCAATAACCGGCCAAATTTGCAGAGAAGGTTCTGAATAAGTAATATAGGCAAATGGTGAAGAAAAATTAATTGAAAAAAAATCTCAAACATTCTGTTTTTATCTTTTAAATTAAAAAGGTGTGGTAATTCATTATTTTAACTGATTTTACTGCGCACGCACACATTCTTAAAGGGCCGATCGGTATGCAAAAACCTTGTTGCCCATACATCTCATTCGATTTGGGATAATTTCAAATAAAAGTATCTATTAGCCTTAATTACTCGTATTTTCAAAAACTGCAATAACGGTATATCATTATTTATATATTTGAACATAAGTTTTAAATATGGTTACTCTTTGAAAAATAACCCTGTATAAGATGACTGTATCGTATACTCTCATAATCTTGACTCGCAAATGAAAAAACTTCAACTAACCTTTTCCAAATTCAGAGAGGCTAATTTAAAATTACAACCTGACAAATGTGAGTTCTTGTGACGAGAAGTCGCTTATCTTGGACAAGTAATTACAGATCAGGGTGTTTCGCCTAACCCTGATGAGGTAAAGGTTCCCCACTCAGTTTCCCACACCTAAGACTCCCTAAAGACGTAAAATAATTTCTTGGATTGACAGGATTACCGTTGTTTCATAGAAAACTTTTTTCATATCGCAAAATCTGTTACTTCTTTACTTAAAAAGGACACAATCTTTCACTGGTCTTATGAGCAAGTAAGTGCTTTCAATCAACTTAAACAAAAGTTGGTTACAGATCATTTACTTTAATACCCTGACTTCAAAAAGAAACAAGAAAGGCTACAGACGCTTCTGATTAAGCTGTTGGTGTAGTATTGTCTCCGGATGAGATTAAAAAGGATAAACCAATTGCCTATACATCTCGTACCTTCAATAAACAAGGAGGAAACTATTCGAAAACAGTAAAGGAATTATTGGCGATACTGGTTGCTATTAACACTTTTCGACTATGGTCTTTACGGGTATACATTTAAAATTGTCACAGATCATCGCCCTCTTACATGGCTTTTCAATGCCAAAGATTCAGGCGGACGTTTACTCAGATGGCGATTAAAATCAGAGGAATACGATTATGAAATCGTTTACAAGCCAGGTAGAATTTTTTTCACCTTTGAATTTTGTCGCCTTCTGCTTTTGTTTACAATTAATAATTCGACCTGTGACTCATCGTCTCGGTTATGGTCATCGTCACGGCCATGGTCATCGTCATCGTCATGGTTATGGTCATCGTCACCATCATAGTCATCGTCATCGTCATCTACATGACCATCGTCATCGTCCTCGTTATGGTCATGGTCATTGTCATCTTCCTGATCATCGTCAAAGTCATTGTCATAGCAATCGTTACAATCATCATCATCGAATGACCATCGTTCTCGTCATCGTCATAATCATCGTCACGATCGTTGTCATTGTCATGGTCATCATGATCAACGTCATGGTCATGATCATCATCATGGTCATCGTCACCGTCATAGTCATAGTCATCGTCATCATCATCGTTATGATCATCTTCATGGTCATCGTAATCGTCAAGTCCATCGTCATGGCCATGATCACCATCATGATAATCGTCATCGTTATGATCATCGTCATGGTCATAGTCATTGTCATTGTTATGATCATCGTTATTGACAGCTGTCCCGGCGTGAAGTATAACCGCACCTTTGCAAGGACTCCTAGCTTCATTGCAGCTGCTTAGGCCTTAGACTCAATGAGCCGCCCGAAGTTAAGATTTGAGAATATCTCAACCCCCAAGTGTATTCCAGTGATACATTTTGGAATAAAGGAGCCAAGATGAGCTGGCTCCTTTGCAGCTTGTGTTTTGGAGGCGTTGAATTTCTCAAGATTGGCATCGTCGCACACGGTGACTGCCTTTAGTGTGAGATTCACACGCTCTATCATAGCTTCTCTTTTGGACTGGACTTGATCCCAACTGGCCCGTGGACTTGGTTGGTATCTCTACACAACTGTGCTATCGTCTGCATACCCATCTATGGGTACTAAATACTAATACCGAGTAAGTACTGGTAATACCGGTCATAAGCAGATCATTAATGTGCAGCAGGAAGAGAGTTGCGGAGAGAAGGGACCCCTGAGGAACACTGGCGTTAGTCGCCGTAGGATCGGATGAGCAACTAATTTAAGCAGTTGAACTCTATTCTTTGCTCGGTACACAACTATCTTCTAACTTATAGAATTCCGATGTGTAATCATAATTAAATTAAAGTAGTTTTCCAGCAGTAAGAAAATCGAAAATCTTCGACTAGGGTCATGTATGTTACCATCTTTAGACACGCCAACCTCGCTGTTCTAACCTAGCGTGGTGTGGTGCTAGTCTGTCATCACGGAGGCCAAGACCCGTATACCCAATAGTTTAGTTGGTCCTTCGAGCCGGATCTGAAGACACGGAAACACTGAGGACTTGACCTGGAACTGGACAGATGCCAGGAGTGAGAAAATCGGAATTCAAGGTGCGCAATTGATTCCGACCTGCGTTACAAGTAGAGCAACTGGAAATCAGTAGATGGTGGGCATCCAAATAAGAAGCAATAAAGCTGCAACCGGATGAAAGTGCCCGCGCAAACCACCGACTGCGACCGGACGAGAGTGCCCAAATCAAGCACTGTCTGCGCCCGACGAGATCAGGCGCCTAGGCAAGGCGTCATCAGCGACTGGACGAACGGAACGTGGCACCAGTAGAACAGAATAGAATAGAATAGAATGATTTTTTTTATTCAATATTGATTATTTTATTAGGCTATAGTTATTGAAAGTGATTTTTATCGTTTACCACTGGTTCGGAAAATACCTCTGTCCTGGGAAGAACCACCAAGAAACCCGGCGGGACATTTTTTAAAACATATTTTACTTACTACAATTATTTTGTTTGTACAATTTTTAAATAAATTTTCATAGAACCAGCATGGTGGTGATCACCTCATGCCCAGGGGTTATTTTCATTTATGTATTCTTTGATATTATAGTAACCCTTTTCGTAGTTTTTCATTAATAAAACTTTTAAACTTGTTTATTGACAAACTTTGAACATGTTCTGGGATTTTGTTGTAAAAGCGAATACTTGCCCCATAAATGAATTACTGATTCTGTGTACTTACTGCAACGGCGGATCCAGGGGGAGGGTCATGGGGGTCATGACCCCCCCCTGAGCTGGTTCCAGGACTTAGGTGGACCACTAGTTGAACATAATGATTTTATTTATATATTTTGTCACCATACAGATTTTATGTAACTACATACCTTCAATATTTAATTAATTTAATATAATATAGTATAATAACTGTGTATGCAAACGTATGCAAACGTTTGGGAACGAACGTATCGAAAATTTGAATTTTACCGCGCCACACTTGCGCGCGTTTGTCGACTACGTATATACACTCTTATCTATGACTACGTAAGCTTCAACATATCATAACATAGTTCTAAGTTAAAAAACTAAAATTTCTTTCTACCTATAATGTGTTTATAAGTGTACCCTTATAACTATTTTTAAAAATTGTTGCTGGATATTCATTAATTACAAGAAATGGTAAGTAATCAGTTTGTCATTATTCCAGTGCGTGTGTTTAAACTTAAATGTTATTGTTGTTAATGTTCATAAAGTTATGAGGTACGGAGGAAGATATGTGGGTACCTACCACAGAATAGTTTACTCCTAGCGGAGAAGAATGTTAACTCCATATAAAATGGATAGGAACAAAATTCAGCGCCATCTACCGTTGGAGCACATACAACAAATTTGAGCGGGAAAATTCGAATCGCAGAAATTAAATTTTTTTCATCGATCTGGTTTTTCCAAGATTTATTCTATTAAAAAATATGTTTCTATCATTAAACATTATTTCTATAAATTTATCTCTAGAATTATAATAATTAATTATTTTAGAAACATATTTCCTAATAGAATAAATCTTGGAAAAACCAGAATCGGTTATGTATTTCTGACGAGGAATACAAGTTATAATAAAATATAATTTATGCTTACAAATTCATTTATTCATAACAAAAGATATAGAAAAAAAAAACAAATATAATTAGCCTATTAAATTGTTTTAAATTCATTTAAGTTAGTATATTGGAATTACAGGTGTAGCGTAACTTAATATTTAATGAAACATGTTTAAATTATGCAAAATTCTTACAATATTCACACAGAAAATAACTACAATAATATGTAATCAATTTAAATAAAATATAAAATATGTCGACAATTTGAATTTTGTTTTAATAGAAAAATTGGCCTTTACATCTAAAGATGATTTATACAGCGTCAATAATTTTACAACAGCTATTCTAGACGCTGTAGTGCCTGGGACATCACGAATCCAAACTAATAAGTTTGGATTGCAAGTATAGTAAATCTTAATTTATGTTTACAAATTAATTTCTCCATAAAAAAAGATACGGAAAAAAAAATATAACTAAACTATACAAAAATGTTTTAAATTCAAATAAGTTGGCATATTGGAATTAAAGTTTACAAAACAATGTTTAAATTATGCAAACTTCTTGCAATTTTCACATAGAAAATAACTATAGTAATATATACTCAATTTAAATATAAAAATGTCGACAATTTGAAACAGAAACATAAACTTGTTTATTCAATATAGATTATATATAATACTTATTGAAAATCACTCTTTTGTTTAATTACCACTGGTTCGAAAAAAAACCTCTGTCCTGGGAAGAACCAGCAAGAAACCCAGCGGGTTTTTTTAAATAGCTTACAATCATGTATGTTACACAATTAACAACACAACAAATTAGAAATAGCTTGGTAGCGATCACCTCATTCCCAGGGGTTATTATCATCCATAAATTCCTTAACTTTATAATAACCCTTTTTATACAAACTTAGTTTAATAAAGTTTTTGAACTTTGAGCAAGTCAAATTTTGTATATTTTCTGGAATTTTTTTGTAAAAGCGTATAATTCGCCCCAAGAATGAATTACTGACTCGGTGGAGTAGAGTAACTGGTACTATTAGCTTGTGTCTGTTCCTAGTATTTACAGAATGAATATCACTTATGTTTGTAAAACTACTTTTATTTTTGTGTACGTACATTACATTTTCATAAATGTATTGAAAGGCCAAAATTAATATATTAATTTTCTTAAATATTTGTCGCAGCGACTCTTTAGGCTTTAAATTATAAATTGCTCTTATAGCCATCTTCTGTAAAACAAATATAATTTCAGTGTCAGCTGCGTGTCCCCACAGCAAAATACCATACGACATTATGCTATGGAAATAGCTAAAGTAAACTAGTCTAGCTGTTTCAACACTGGTTAGACCTCAATAATAATAATAATAATAAGGTTAGAAATAACCTCAATAAATTATTTAATGTGCTAGGTGATGGAAGGCACCACATCCTTCTTAATAATCGGTAGCACGTTGGGGACCTTTTAAATAACCTCAATGCGATTACTTTTTCGTCGAATGTCCACCTTCTGCCTTTAAATTTCTTTTTATCATTTTTCAATTGAGCCTGTAGCATCAGCGCAAAAGACGGCGTCAGCCTCTAACAAAATCGAAAGAAAATCCAGAATAACAAATAAAAAAAAAACAACATAGTATTTTAAAATCAATTGGTGAATACTATCATTTTAGAGGTTTTCAAATAACTTGGCAATTTTGTGGTAGAAATCTGGTAAAACAAATGACCAAATAAATAATTTTGTTACCGCGCCATCTACGCGGTTTACTAAGTACTACATCGATCTGCGAAGCCGACGTAGTTCTTAGCGAATTTAGTCGATGACGCTACTGTTTATTAATGCCGCATAGGTCCCATACATTAGTTGACAAGGCCTGGTACCTACTTACTGAAAGAGTGCTGCGTGACTTATGTACCTACCTATATATTTTTTTGGTCGAGGGAGTTTGAAGAGCATTAAGCTTACTGACCTAATCTAAAATCTTAGATAAATTCACACAATGAAATCAAGTGTATCGTCGTGACCACACTGATTTTAATGCCCTTTTAAAATAAAATAAGAGAGCAATCAACAGAATTAATATAACATGCATAAACTTAAAAATAATCTTGGTTAAAGTTTTTAAAAGCATCTAGCGAAAACTTCGATGCAAACTATTGCGCGACAAAAAAACATTGCGCTTCATTAACAGGCATGCATTTACAACAAGTAAATAGTAATCTACCTACCTACTACTTTTTACTTTATTTGTATATTACAGATTTCTAAAAACTATAAAATATTAGAGAACCTGAAATTGTTTTGCTTGTTTAACACTATACTTACCTAAAGTAAATAGGTATTACCTATTTGATGTAAGGGTCTTTATGGAAAATGCAGTGGACTGTAAAAACGTACATCAGCAAGACTGTACAAAATGAGTTGATAGATGTTTGCGCAGAAAGCATCCAGGAAAACATTTTACAGAATGTGCAGGAAGCTAAATATTTTTCAATTTTGTTCGATGAAACAACAGATATATCACATATCTCACAGCTGAGTCTATCATTCAGATATTTGCATGATGGTATTATTAAGGAACATTTTGTGACTTTTTGTGATACTACGATGCTCTTAGACGTGAAGACAACAATTCAGGTGACATAGAGCCTCGATTGACAGGTGTA